CAAGCAATTTTACCATAAAGAAGTCAATCACTTATAGTCAATCTTTATGGTAAAGTTGCTTGATCTGGAAAAATGGTGTACCGAGGGGAGTGTAAGAATCATTTTCTAAAAGAAATCATTAATAGGACTATTCCAATAAAAGAAGTGATCATCGGTAGGAATAGTCCTAGATTGCAAATAACCAATGATAGAGAGGAATGCAAGTCCTCAAGGAAAGGAATACACTAAATTTGAGATGAAAATTTCTTTGAAACTGCACCTTTTTACTTTGTTGGAAATAGACAAGAAATAGAGAGTTAAAAATAGAGAGTTCAAAACTAGTGATTTCATAGAAGAACGAAATCATCCTTCGCCAATTTATGGGAATGCAACATGCTAGAACATTTGAATGCAACATGAAGAATGCGGAATCATTGTCTGAAGACAGATAAAAATATCGAATATTAATTTTATCTTCACTCTTTGGTATTTGAACCTCTTAGAACTCCGCTAATCTCCTGTTTAGCATGAGAAAAGGGGAATATAGCACTGGCAAACCCAAAAACTAGTTTCTTGGTGCATTATACGGAATAGTGAGGAGCAAAGCCTTAGCTTCAGAGCCAGCAACAAAACAGTAAGAAGAACAGCGACTAACTTAATCATTGATATTCAGTGCTATACAACCAAAGGACATGATAGTAATGCAGTTTGGTGAGTAAAATTGGAAACCTAAGTTTCTTTACTTCAGAACAAAATTCATCTCTGAGAACTTAGAATACCTTAGACCAAGTTAAATTTGTGGATCCAACAGGCGGTTCCACATTATGTAGCTTGCTATCAAGACTAAGCATCAATGATCCCATCAAATCATTTGCTTCAACTGCAACAGACATATCTTGAGATTTGTCCTTTGCTTGAGAACCTCGGCTATCTCCAGGTCGGCAATCAGTAATGCTCATTGAACTCATCCCCTGCTCACAAGTCGAGTCTCCTACTGAAGGGTTATCTAGAAGAAATGACCAAATAACAGAGAGCTCTACCGCGG